TCGCCCCACCCGGGGCCCGCGGTCCGCAAAGCCAGCGGACACTCACCGGACAACCTGGGGCGGCAGGCCGACCTTCAGCGCGCCCGGGAAGCGCGTGGGGTCGAACAGCGCGTTGGTGTACTCGCTGAGGTGCTGTGCCGTGAGGGCCCCACAGTGAGTACGTGCGCTCCGACAAGCCTGAGGCAAGGCAACAACGGCAGCGTCAGGAGGGCCAGCGTTCTCCGGGGGTTCTCTTGGAGATCTGGAGGGGGAACACCGTGCATGTGGAAGGCGCGGGGTAAACGAAGACAAGGTCGGAAGCCAATGCCCCACCAAGTACGTTAACAAGCCCATGTCAAAGACTTTCGCCACCGTCCGGAAGTGAAGCGTTACTTCACTTGCGGTCATTCTCTCAGCAGCGAGCTCGGCGGTGTTTCAACCCATACACCCCGCGTCCGGCCGCCGGCCGTGTCCCGGGTTCCGCCGGCGGGGCAGGCCACGCCTGCCGCCGGGCCCTCGACCGCCGTCACCCGCTGCCGACTCACCGCAGGTCCTGCCGGTCCTTGTGACAGTTGCCGATGAACGTCCCGAACTGGCACGAGAACACGTGGTCGTGCAGGGTAAGCAGGTACCGTTCGTTGAACTGGAACGCCTGGGGCTGCAGCTGGCTCAGCTGCCACACCGCATCTGAGGCGGAGGTGGACCACAGCTGCTGACTCAACTCGACACTGACTTAACACAGGGTTGGAGATGGACTACAGCTGCTGACTCAACTCGACGCTGACTAGGCACGCGGTCGGAGTTGAGCTACATTTGCTGATTCAATCCGGCACTGAACACAACACAACCCACACTCACCCCACAACACACCCACACCCCCTCCCCCCCACACATACACCCGCACCCACACCCGCCCACATACACACCCACACCCACACCCACACCCACACCCACACCCACACCCACACACATACTAGACACTCGACACCGACTGACGCAGGGTCACGGTAGGACGTCAGCCGTCAGAAGCGGAGGTGGAGCATGACACGGATGTGCCAGCTGCGCACAAGCCGAGACAGCGGGACTCGGTTTTGGAAGGACACGACAACAGACAGCGGCCGGCCCCACGCTCCTGTAGCGGGGATCTCGCAGTAGGACATATAGAACAACAGGGAGCAGCGCTTAGCCGTCACAGGTAACAATCACGACACTGAGTCACGATCTCCGCAATGTGCACCCACCGATGAACTGCGTGAAGATGGGAGAGATCTCCTTGGGGTCCTGCTGGATGAAGCCGCAGCGGTCCGTGAACTTGTGACCGTGCGCCAGCCAGCACTTCTCGATCAGAGCCTGCCGGGCGGCGGAGGCCAGAGCCGTCAGAGCTGACCGCCGCTCACGGAACGCACAGCCCAGCCCACCGAGCGGAAGAAAACAGCACACATACGTGCAGTACGACGCACACCAACGTGACAAAACAAGCCCAAGGCCTGTGGCAGACTGGTCTCCCTGCAATAGGGTCCGATCGTTGTAAGCCGCCAGTCCAGGGAGACTGGTCGGGCTTTGCCGAGGGAACCGCTAGCTGTGCCCCGGCTGCCGCAGGAGCGGTGGCGGGCGGCGAGCGCCATCTGCCGCTCACCTGGAAGCCATGGATGGTGCGGTAGTAGGGGTCGAGCAGCAGCTCGGCGAGCGCGCACGTCTGCGAGGTGCGGTCCCAGCCGTCGCTGCAGTGCACCAGCACCGTCACGCCCTGTTCCACCGAGGCGGCCACGAACTGCGCCGCCTCCAGCGTCGAGCGCACGTGCCGCAGCCAGCCGCTCGACTCCAGGCCCGACAGGAACGTCGACATGGCCGACGTCTTGCTCTCGCAGGCTGCCGGGTACGCGGGCGGGGGGCGGTCAGCGGCGGCGGCGGCGGCACCGCGGGGGACGGTCGCGGCCGGCGGCATCCGGCGCCAATATGGCAATCGTCTGGCAACGATGCATTGTCACGACTCTGACGAACGGGATGTCCCCTGGGAGGTACGCGACCCTGGTGGAGACTTTGGTCGATTTGTGGAATACGATGATTGATTCATCCGGACTAGTGAGGTCTTTTTGAGCCGCCAGTTTAGTGGAGTGCACAAACAAAGCATCGTAGCCTTATATTTCTTATAAAGCTGACGACAAAGACAAAACATTAGCTTCTTGCCAAGAGCTTTCAAACTATCAAACATATGGCCATATCCAAAAACGGGCACTTACTTTCCACCAGTTTATTTAAGCTATTTCGCATAACATGAATATTTTCGATGCCGAAGAAGTAGAACTTGATATTCTGGTAGAAGTTCTCGTTTTCGTAGCCTTTCCCTGACGCTCTATTTGCCATAGCGTTGATCTGCAAACCACGGGGAAAAGATAGACCAGGCTCTCATAGTCGGATGCTCAAGCGACTTCACATATCAACTGATGGCAAAAATCAACAGGAAACGGGCAAAAGGCTCGGTGAGCCTTGTGCCCGCCCGCTCCCCATCCCCCTTGGTCACGGTTCGCAAATGTGACAGGAGAACACGCAACCCAAGATCGTGCATACTGATTCCAACCGTTCGCTCTGTATGTCCCACTAGCCTCATTACGACATACTCACTGAATTCCCCTTCTGTCAAGCGCCGCACAACAGCACACGTCATCCACGTCACACGTCATGCGCAGCATATGTCATTCACTTAACACGTCATCAACAGCACACGTTACCCACGTCACATGTAATCCGCAGCATACATCATCCGCAGCACATGCCACCCACTTCACATGCCATCCACAGCACACGTCACCCACGTCACATGTCACCCGCAGCACATGTCACGCACAGCACACGTCACACTCATCCGCAGCACACATCACCCGTGTCACACATCACCCGTTCACATGTCACCCATAGTCACACGTCCCCCCGCGGGCGGTTCACTCACCTTGGGCCGCGTATCCACGACATACATCAGCTTCTCTGACGGGTTGGTGCCGCGTAAGCAGCTCCAGCATTTGCTCATCCTCCAGACAGCGCGCCTTGAAGCCGGACAGCGGCTGACTGCAACCGACAGATGCTGGCCTGCGACAGCGCAGGGCGCGTCCGGTCAGCGGCCCGGCGGCACGCGTCCCGGTCACCGGCCGCCCCCGGCGACTGCCTGACTGACGTCTGCACGAGCAGCGCGGCGGCGACGGCATGCGCGCGCCACCAATCACGAGATCACGAGACGCGCCTCCCTGGCGCCACGTTGTGCCCACCGCGCCGAACTGGACATCTGACTGGTCACAGCACAGCGAGTCATGTTTTGTTTCGACAACTGCCAAAGGACCAGAGGCGCAACGTCTTGCCCGACAACTGCCAGCGACGCACGCAGTTGATGCGGCGGGTGGCAGTCAAGCGCCCACCTGATTCGAGTGTAGGTAGCTGAGCACCGGCAGGCGGCCCTTGCTTCGGAAGCGCGAGCAGCCGAGCAGGACGGCCGTGCTGGCGGCGGCCGGCACGCAGAGCAGCGACGGGTACGTGTCGCACACCTCGTATGCAGCGTTCATGTCCGTCAGCGCCCATACGTCGTTTGGTACGCCCCATCCGCCTGCCGCAGGGCACGCGGCGTTCCTTACAGCCGGCCGGACGCCGGACGCCAGAGGCCGCCAGCAACCGGCCGTTAATTGTGATGCATGCCTCACCAAATGAGTTCCTGTGCAATGCACGCCACTGAACGCAATGACCGCGAAATGTGACACGTGGCCTTATGACGCCATGAATTATGCACGTAAACTACGTGAAAACACTTCATGATCAGCTTTAATAAGCACGGGACCGGACAGACGGCGCCACCAGGGAGCCGCCACATGATTGACAGGTCAGAGACTGGGGCGCCGGCGTGATGAGCTGGTCGGAGCCGGCACTGACCTGAATTCGTCGCTGAGGTCGTACGTGTCCCAGCCGTCGGGCTGGCGCAGCTCCGTGCTGCGCGGCGTGAAGTGGAAGCAGTACAGGTCTTCCAGTTCCACTAGAACGGCGGCGGAGCGTCAGGGTCCAAGGCCCAGCACACGGTCGAGGCGCAGTACCAAAGAACGGTGCAGAGCTGGCTGTAGGCGAGCCTCATTGCGTCAGTCAGCAGAGAAACGGCGTCACGTGCTAAGTACTAGCGAGTTCATCAAGCGCGGATGTTTGGAAGTGTCGGGGCACGCTTCAATGCCGATATCTACAGGCGTGGCACGATCACAGCCCTTCGCCTCCACGGTCGGGCGTCCGAACACGTGGGTCAAATGACGTACCCCACAACCTCCCATCCTCATCGCCAGAAATAGAACAACTTCACGTCCAGCGAATTCAAGCGGCACCAAACGCAAATGAGCCTGCATGCACGGCGTTGAGCGCCGCCGAACCGATGCCGGCGCCGGTAGAGCACGGCACCTGGCTGCGACAGCTGCTGCAGCGACGTGAAGATGTCGTGACAGTCGGGGCTCGCGCCTGAAACACGAACGTGGCCGAGCGGAAGTTCTTGCAGCGCACGAGCAGCGGCGAGCCGCCTGCGTCAGCGGCAGCTTCTCCACGGAGCCCACGTGCATGTGCGAGATCTGCGGCGCGACCGACCGCGTCCGTCAGCAGCGCGGCGCGACGCCGGAACGGCGCCGCCGGCCGCGCGCCGCTGCCAGGCACGCTGGCGCCACAACAGCCTGCAGTGGCCACGGGGTCACGAGCCGGTGAGAAACGGGGCGGGCGCGGCAACACCAACGGGAAACGCCGTGGCGCCCGACGCTATCACCAGGCGTTTGTTGTTGCCTACACGTCTATCGAAGTGAACCGTTAAAATAGCAGAATATTATCACTAACATCTCACCATGGTCAGTTTTACAAAACACAGCTTAGGAATAGGAACGAGGCGTGCAAGCAGGAAGCTACGTGGGAATGTCGGCGCGCCTGCGGACACGCCATCTCACAACCCTACCTGTGATCGCATATAAACAATGGCACGACATGGACTATCATCAAGCCCGACTGCCCTTCCCCTCCTGTCAAAGCACGCTGCACGGCTGCCTAAAGCCCCCGTCCCTCGTGCCATAGCGGGCCGGCTCACCCAAGTCTCCTTCTTGTTGCGCGGGTCGACGAAGATGAGGTGGGTTGGCGGTGAGGTAGAGGGTCCCCGGAGCCGGTTCCGCGGCGGTGAAGCGCTCCAGCATGCGCACCTTCTCCACCTGCTGCGCGGCGCGTCCGTTAGGCGCCCACCAGGGGCTCGCTGGGCCGGCCCGCGCATGACGCCACCGCACTGCATGGGCTCATGACCACGCGAGGCGCCTCACCTTACGCCACTGGGGTGCAACACGATGGATGGAACAGGCATGTGTGCTTGTACGACTACACGTGCGCGGCACAAAACTGTCGCAGAGACCGCATTCAATTTCTTCTGTAAACAAAGCATCTATAAAAATTCAGCATTAACTCCAGGATTTAGACAAAAGAAAAGGTTAGTTGAAAAATCGTCGCATATCCGAAAAAACTAATCAATTCTAATCTACCAAATTTTCAGGAACAACAGCACAACGTTTCCTGTGCGCACTCACTACAGCAATGAAGTAGAAGTCCTCCGGTGTAGTTTGCATCAGTTGTATAAAACCAGCAGAGATGGACCTGGATCCCAAGGTGGATCTAGGATCCCATAAGCTTCCATGCATATGGGATCTTGGGATATTGGGGGGGGGGGGGGGGGGGGGCCACCAGGCACACATCTGTAGGCCAGATCGCACACTGGTAACTGCCGTCAGACAGGTAACGACATAGTACACCCTGGCACTGGCGACATGCGGCATGCCCACGCCCGGCGCCCCGCCCCAGCCCTCCGGTCCGGGCAGACCTCGAGCAGAACCGAGCCGGCGCACCGGCCCGCCGCCGAACCGGGAGCAGCGGCGCCCCACCCACCCTTGGGCTCTTGATGATCTCCATAGTCTGGCTTCTGGTCGCGCAACCCACCCGGCTCCACATCGTTGTGTGGCCGGGCAGCATCTGAGACAGCTGCCGCCCGACGCCTTTGAGGACCTGGTCCACGGTGTACCCCTGCGGGCCCACCGACCCTGCGGGCAGTGGCAGGCTCGGCGTCACTGGCTGGCGCGGGGCCGGACTCCGGATGCTCGCTGCGTGGCGCGCCTCACACTCCTGCTCCCTCTCTCTCTCGCTCTCTCTCGCTCTCTCTCGCTCTCTCTCTCTCTCCCTGACTAGCTTGAAATAAGTGATTTAAAGATTCCAGTTGAAATTGTACTGAAAAGGTTGGAGTCAGATGTATTTCTACTGTGCCTCGATGACAAGAGACCCCATTTATGCGAACTGTGCACCTCAAACAATATTATGATGCTCAGCAACAATGGAAGCAGGGCTGTCATTCCTGGACAAGGCCCATAGGTCACAGACTTCAGGTAGTGACCCATTTCTGTGGATCTTGCAGTTCAACCTGTAGCCATAACTGATCACAAGAACATAATTTCAAGCTATTTCTAGGTGTGCTATATGAAAATAACAGATAATAATCAGCTCCTAACCACTCACCACATGGTTTGATTACAAAACATGAAATGTCAGCCACCTTCAACAAAAACTCCATTAGTGGTCATCCCTAACAAAGTAAAGCAGCTATAACACATGGTCTTCTGGCACTGCTCACTGTTCTTAATGGACAAGGCATTTCATACATTTTTTTCTCATTATCCATTAGCACATTTGGTTCTCCACCTTTAACACTTTTAATGATTATGTGAAGCAAGAATGAAACATGGTGTGCATTTTTTGAACTTCTTGAGCAACAGATGCAAATCATTCAACAAATCACTTATCTTAACAGGCCACAGATATCTGTCATGGTGGAACAGCAGACATGGGTTCTATTAAAAGGGCCTATCCCAGTAAGGCACACATGTGTGAGTCATGTGAATAGTCCAGGGCAGAGTCAGCCAAGAAGGAAGAAGCATATTTTGACATGGAGGATCTCTTGATGACAACAAATACCAGCCAGCACCCACAGGCAAGCCAGGTGGTGAAAACTGTCAATGTCAAAGCTGCCCTGAAGGGAGACCAGAGAGTCAAATTCACAAACAGGGGCTGGGAGATGTCTATCACTGCTGTTTACTGTAGCATCACTCAGTAGGCCCTACAGCATACAAAGGGGTCACATAAGTCACACTTCAGTAAAAATAAAATAGCAAGATGCGAGGGTGAGAGCTGTGCTGAAGCATAATGATGTAATAATTGGGGGAAAGGACAACCATAAAGAGGTCATTTGGAGCAACAAGGGACCAACACACACCCCACAAATCACCAGAAAATGGCTTCTGATGAGGCAGCCTTCATCTGCACACAAGATAGCATGCCCACTCACATGCCACAGAGAGCCCAATGGTGGCACTAATGGACCCATCAGTGATCCTGGGACAACAGTTCCAGGGTCTTCCTGACCATATCTCCATAAAAAATGCTGGAAATCCTGCAGGCATATCCCAAAAAGATGAGCTACTGTGAGAGGACCTTGAAGCTGGCAGCACTGCTGCAAAAGGAGTAGGTGGCCATTTTACACTCCATGCTCAGCTAGTTGGCAGAAAGGGGGCCAATGGGACTGCCAACTATGTCAGATAAAATAGGGAGAGCAGCAGTATATGGGAAAAAACTAAATGTCATGCAATGCCACATGGATGTGTGCTTTTTGGTGCATGCTATACCATCCTATCATAGCAAATGGTTGCAAACCTTATGTTAGAAATTATGCCTCAATGAAGTGCTGCTGAGCAGCTAGTAAATAACTAAAGAAATCAAAATATCTTTCTGATGATTTTACACACTCATAACCTCAATGTGACAATTCTGTCCAGCAATTAACACAGAAATAAGATGTGCACACATGATACTGGTAGTGAGTTTTTGAAGTGTGATCAATTATTGAACCATATGGCAGTATCTGGTAACATTATATGGGTCTGCCTCATTCAGGACACATCAAAATTATCCTGATATTAAACTATCAACTAGGCCAGTACTTGGTGTGTATTCTATCTGATTCAGCATATTCAGTATATATTCATTTCAGTGATAATTTGTGTATGTTGCAATCATTTTGACTAGCAGCAATCATAAATATGTTTTTTTGCAGACTGGACAACTAACAAGTGTACCTAAGTATTTGCCAATACATATGATACAGACATGCAGTGATAAGGGCATGATAGACAGTGGAAAATATGCTGTACTTATGCATAATATGGAAATTTCTTATCCATATTGCAATCATTTACTTGAACTGCATTATATTAAATGGTCATGTCTCCACATTCATAACACTAAACAAGTAAGAGACAATTAAATTGCATACCTGCTTATGTTTTGCATAAATCATCTATGACCTAAGAAATAGTGCAAATGTATAATTCATAGTAATAGTCAGGAAAACTTGCTTGCATTTCATAAAATGCAATTAGTCAATCCCACATTTCTTATATCTGTAACTCTTTAACAGTTCTTTACTAGCCTCATAAAGTGAACTGTCAGCCATCCTGCAGATAATGGTAGCTTGGGAAGTATGGTACATTCAGGATGCCAAAGCACCTAGACACCTGAAATCCCCCATAGTTCACAGGCTGTTTGGGCAACACATTTGCAGACATATGTGCATGTTCAAAACATTTAGAGCTAAGCACAGTCAATGAAATTTATGCTTCATCATGAAATATCCTTCCATCAAAATAACCACAAAAAATATTTATGCTCAATCAAACCTTGTGTTACCCTGCAACCATGCTCACCTTTTAGCAGACAATACAGTCCAGCTTGAAAATGCATGGCAAACAACATTTTCAAACATCAAGATGGAACTTAATGTACACCACAACCAATACACACAATAGCAAATCGCATCCATATAACACACAAATGTCACTGAATAACCAGATAGCACACTAAGAAACAAACAGCCCAAAAAGCATTGAGGCTAGGAGTAGCTCACCTATATCTAGGTTCAACCTGTCAACCAGAGGGAAATCTTCCGTGGATGAATTCAGGCGTTCGGCGCGTGTCTCGTATGGTCAAATACTTCCAGACCTTTTCGGACTTTACCACAAAGGACGCCGCTTATTTACACTCACGCAACAATGGCACGATGTGCCAAGGAGCTCAGCCACCTACACCGTCCCCAACCAAATCCGAAATGAACTCTAGATCGTCGGTCCGCGCGAAATCGATTCACTCTCCGAGACCGCGGAAACCCGCGTCTACGAACACTGCGTACCAGACGGTGCAGAAGTGACGCCCCTGTGCGCATTGTTTGCGTATATCTGGAAGCATCAGCAGTCAGCTGAATCAAATGTCTGGAGACTTTCTCTCCCCAGACTTTCCAAGAGTTTCTCGGGCTACGGTCGATCCACCTAAGCCGCAGCACTGCAATATCGCATATGTTGTGTTGGTATAAACCTTACTCTGTAATGCAAAATCAGAATCGCGTAACGTGGCAAAAAGTTGGCAAGCGAGTCATCCGCCTATGGCGCCACGCAAGGGCGTTTCCAGTTTTGCCGTTCATGTGCGGGTGGGGCGCTGTTTGGAATCGAGAGAGCTGGAACCATCCACCCCCCTCACTGGCGACGCCCATGGATAAACGACCTCTGTTTGGTCATATGACATTAGACGAAGAAACGTTTAAAAAAATGGGCGTGACAAACCCCATTTCGCGAACGATTTTTTCATACAGCGCCATAGCGTGCATGGAAGGTGGGGCTAATGCCCTGCCTCCTCGGAAAGTGAGGGTGCGCGACACCCACGGACCGTACAAATTCCAACTCCCCTGGTTGTGACACTGAATTGCGCGATGGCATTAAAATCCCGCCCTACTCGGGTTTTTTTCAAGTCTGACTGCAGTGGCATTCGACAATGGACATTTCCGGTGGACTGGCAGAAAATTCTAGCTGACACGTTATCTTCCACGGCAGCATGGTCTGCCACGTCCGGGATCGTCGGAGCAGGGGTCAAGCATGTTGTGGATAAGACACTAGCAGCACAACTGGTGGCACCGCTAGAACGGTCTTCGAGCTGGCAGCGCAGACTCCCCCGCTGCCGCTGTTTCCCCGCCGCCTGTTCGAATATAATGAAGACCGTTACCAGTGCGACACTATCAATGCCTAAGGCTGATAGCTGGTAAGGCTGGTAAACCCTTACCAGGGTTTAAGGCTGGTATCCAATGCCCATGCGTGTAGGCTATCGCTAGCAACAAACCTTTAGGTGTTTTTTCGACCTTTAGACACTGCACTTGTCTACTGCGGATGGGAAGCATGCATTTGCCGCATTTAATGACGATCAGTTATCAAGCCAGCCCACTTTTTGTTACCAACAAGACGGGTGCAGTCAATATAACCCTGCATAGGGGTCCTCTGTCTGGCTTGCCGCTACAAACACGTCGATGCTCTGAGCACGCTGCTGCGTTCTGTTAAAGGGGCGCTAATTATACAAGCGTTCTTAAGCGGAGTGCCCCAAATGCTTCTAAGATTTGCTGGCGGGATTGAAAACACCATCGCTCTTCATTTTGTTATCGCACAGAAATGGACGCCAGTCACGTTATCTATTGAGAACTATAATATTGAAGATTGAAAACTACAAAATACCACAGCTGCTGTGATTGCATTATGTTCAGTCTGGAACGAAGTCCATATTTTCCTTGAGAACTTTATGTGTTGAAGCCAAACGTACAGAACTGGTGAAAAACCAATAAATCGTCGTGGTTGACGATGGGAAGTTCTAATGGCACACGGTCGCGAAAACCCTTTGCTAGGAAATTACTACCAAACAGGTGAAGCAATTCGGCCTTCAAGCAGCCTTACGACGTCGGGACGTAGGAGTGGAATGAGCTGAACCAATAGCGCGTACAGAGGGGGGGGGGGGGGGGCACAACGAGAGGCCCAAAGAGCCCTTCGAAAACTACAATTAAGGATCCGATTTAAGGACCAGAAAACCCAGCCAGGGGTATTATTCAGGGGCCTCGACCCGCAGGAACGGGCCCTCAAATGCCAGCCAGAGGGCCTGTGCGCCGACCAGGGGCCCACTGAGCCAA